TGCATAAATGTGATCTGTATTTTCAGTAGTTTCAAATTTGTTCACCCAGTATTTGGTCAACTGTATTCTATAATTCTTGGGTATGGTGTTATATTGTAAGACGATGTAATTAGGTGCACATAAATCTAGAATTATAATATCTGACCAGTGAATTGAACCTTCCATCCATATGAAGTATTATTTATTTCTAGTGATGCTTTTGCCTTAAAACTTATACATTATACCAGCTTTCTCTTGACTGGTGTTCGCATGGTGTATCTTTTTACATTTCTTTACTTTCAGACTTTCTTTATGTATACCTCTTATAAGCAGCATGTCCTTTTTTTTCTTTAAGCCAGTCTGATAATCCTTGTGTTTTAATTAGAGTATTTAGTCCATTTACACTTAATATAATTATTGATAAATTTGGGTCGGGATCTATCATCTTATTGGTTTCATTTTTTTCAGTCTATCCTTTTTTCTACTTTCTTACTTTCTTCTGGGTTAAGTAATTTTCACTATTCTGCCTTCCTCTTTTATAAGCTTGATAGTTATAATCTCTTTTATTATTTAGTGGTTACCCTAGAAAGTACAGAATGCTCTTGTGATTTATCAACACCTATTATAAATTACAACTTTCACTTCTTCCAAGACAGCCCAAGATCCATAGAACTGTTCAACATTATTTAACCCTCTACAATCTTTTGTGCTATTATCATCACGTTTTACACTGCACAAAACATTATTATTATTGCTTATATAGTCAGTATTTAATTAGATTCACCTTCATATTTGCCCATTTTGTTGCTCTTCGTCTCTTTATCTACAGTTTTCCACCTGTGATCACTTTTCTTCTGTCTAAAAAGCACTGTTTAGTGAGCATGTGGTTTGGTTTTTGTGCAGGTCTGCTTGTGACAAATTCTCTTGTTGCGGGTTTGTTCTTTATTTTTGCCTGAAAATGTCTTCATTTCACCTTCATTTTTGAGGATTATTTTCATGGAGATAGAATTCTTGATTGGCATTTTATTATCTTTTGGTTCTTTGAAAATAATCCCATTTTCTTCTGGCTTCCAAGAAGTCAGCTTTTAAGTTTAAAAGTTTGTTGCATTTAAGGTTTTTTCTTTGTCTTTGGTTTCAGCAGTTTTACTATGGGATAACTAGGTGGTGACTTTGAAATTTATTCTTCTTGAGGTTTGTAGGACTTCTTGAACCTATAACTTGATGTCTGCCATCAGTGTCTGAAAATTCTTTCTTTCTTTATTTTTTTAGTTTATTTTTTGAGAGAGAGAGAGAGAGAGAGCAAGCAGGGGAGGGATAGAAAGGGAGGGGGAGAATCCCAGGCAGGCTCCATGCTGTCAGCACAGAGCCCAATGCGGGACTCAAACTTATGAACCATGAGTTCATGACCTGAGCCAAAATCAAGAGTCAGACACCTAACCAACTGAGCCACCCAGGCACCCCAGTGTCTGAAAATTCTTAGCCAGTATCCCTTAAACTTTATTTTCTCTAATTTCCTTATGTTAAACCTTCACACTCTATTTCCTATGTCTCTTACTCTCTTTTCTGAATTGTCTATGCTTCTGCCTTTCTCTCCTTCAGGCTGGATGTTTTATCTAGCCTTTCTTCAACTCACTATTTCAGTTTTCAGCTCTAATATTCTGTTAAACACATCTATGAGTTGTTCATTTCAGTTATTATATTTTTAAGTTACAAAGTTTTTATTTGATTTTTTTTTTGTGGTTTCCAAGTGTCTGTAAAGTGCTTGATCTTTTACTTTTTCAAATTATTAAAAATAGTTGCTTAAAATCTCATCATTCCTTGATCTGGATCCCCTGTGGGTCTTTTTTTATTTGTGGTATTCATTTATGTTTTTTTATCTCCTTATGTGTTCCTTTATTTTTGACTGAGTGCCAGACATAGTATATGAAAAGTTATAGAGATCATTTAAGCTTCAAGGTGATGTTATTTAACCTCAGAAACAACTTATGTTTTCTCTACAGGAGTGTAAGGATCATTTAATCCAGCCTCAAGAATTGAGATAATTTAAAGCTGGGCTTCTGTCCCACAGAATACTGTTCTATTTCCAGTGCACAGTACTCTTAGATACAGCCTTTCAAAGTTACCATCTAAAGGCTAGGGTTTTTATAAGGCCACCCACACCACAACAGGCCCCACACTCACAGTTTTTTCTTTCCTAAGTCAGCAGGCTATTGATAACTGTCAGCCCCTTAGCTACCTTTTCTGAAATCAGGTACCCCAAAGGAAACCAGGCTTATCTTTCTGGGTTTCCTTCCCATTTTACATCATGGTTCCATAATTCTGGATTACCTTCTGGGCCCTCTGATGCCATCAAATAGATTTTCCCCTGGATTTTCTAGTTTTCAACCAGAATCTCAATCCAGATTACCTAGTGTACCTTCACCAGAAGAGTCTTCCTTTAGTTTTCTAACTTATTTTTCTGGATGTCAGGTGTTCCAGGCATGCTCAATTCCAAAGAAAGAAAAGTGTAGCACCCATTTGAATGATTCTGATTTTGCAGATCTTATGCTTCACATTATAAATCCTGAGAAGCCCTTTCAAGTATCTCTGTCTGTATAAACTCTGAGAGGTAGAGAGACCAAGAATTACACCAGGTGTTAAATGAAATGAAATTTAAAATTAAATGAAAGCAAAAAAAAAAAAATTAAAGAAAAAAATTTTAATTAATTAGTGGGTAGAATGTTATTAACTAAAGCAAATGTCATGAACAAAGGAAGCAGTAAAGCACAAAAGCCTTACCTAAAAGGACCGGGATTATTACAGTCAGATGCACAGTGGTTCTTAGCCTAACACAGAGCCCCACTCAGCAAGGGGATAGATGGAAATGTTTGGGAGGCCCAATGGCAGTAAGTGGGCCTTAGACAATGGATGTTAAATGCTCTGCAATGAGAGGGGCAGTTCTGCAGAACAGAGAATTCTCTTGCCCCAAATGCCAATGATATGAAAAAAAAAAATGTAGAGATAAATTAAGCTTCAGGCTGTTCTCTTTCTCCAGAGAGTACTTATCTTTGCTCTGGCACCAAACACTGTTAAGTAATTGTATTACTTAGAGTAGGCTAAGCTGCTATGAGAAGTAGAATCCCAGAATCCTGAAGCTTAAGAAATTTATTTCTCATTTACATAGCAATCTAGGACAGTTTGCATAATAACCTAGGACAATTGTGCACAGTTTGGATAACTTCCTCACACTGATTTAGAGACCTAGGTTGCTTCTTTCCACTTTGCAACAGTCTTACCTTCTTTTTTTTTTTAATTTTTTTTTTTTAACGTTTTATTTATTTTTGAGACAGGGAGAGACAGAGCATGAACAGGGGAGGGTCAGAGAGGGAGACACAGAATCTGAAACAGGCTCCAGGCTCTGAGCTGTCAGCACAGAGCCTGATGCGGGGCTCGAACTCACGGACCGCGAGATCATGACCTGAGCCGAAGTCAGCCACTTAACCGACTGAGCCACCCAGGTGCCCCCGACAGTCTTATCTTCTAAGACCTTGTTGTTGTATGCATCAGTTAGGTGGGTGACTACATTCAGAATCCAGCTGTCAAAAAGGGAAAGAAAGCATGGAGGAGGCATACAGCTGTCCTCCAGATTCTACCCTACAGGTGGCACACCTTAATTCTGCCCACTTCATTAGGAACTTAGTCACCTAGTCATATGTAATTGAATGGGAGCTGGGACATATAATCCAGCTAAGTGTCCAGGTAGAAGATCACATATTTTGGTAAACAGGTATAATGAAAAATACAACTGGGAAAATAATAAAAGGTAGAAGTTAGTTGGGCATCTCTCAGTGCCAGGTCAAGCTTGGACTTGACCCTGTAGCCACAGTGAAAGCTTGTAACTATTTCTGAGCAGGAAAGTGGGATAGTTAGGATAATTATTCTGGCAATAGTGGGCAGAACAGGTTGTGGAGACCATTTAAGAAGCTATTATAGCAGTCCAGAAGTAAGAACTAAGGTAATAAGCAAGCATGGTGACCGTGGAGAGGGAACAAGGAGACAAAATGCACTGATATCGTTAGGGACAAATGGAATTCCAGTGGTAACCTCTAACATGTATTGAACATTTTACACATATTAGTTTATTTAAGTCTCAAAAAAATAAAAATCTCGTTATCCTTATTTTAATAATGAGGAAACGGAGACCTACGGTATGAATTTGGATAGAAGCCAAGTAATAGCAGGAGTTAAAGATACATGAATGATGGGTAAATGTAGGCAGCATTTGTAGATTTCTCTGAGAAAGTTTGGCCATGAGGTGAGGAAAGAGTTAAGACATTAGCTAGATGGAGACGCATCATCAGGTAGTAATAACAGATAGTAATAACACATAGATAGTACTTCCTGTTTGCTGACCACTGATCTAAGTGTATGCACAGATTATCTCTTTTAGTTCATTTTATAGATAAGAAGACATAATCCATCCAGGGTCACAAAGCTAGTAAATGGCAGGGTTGGAAATGTTTTCCCAAGAGTGGAGTGAGCTCTGTATTTGAAACCCAGCTCCAGTTCTCTTTCAGTGGTCTCCCTACGTGCTCCATTCCACATTGCTCTTGCTCTCACTCTCTCTGTCTTCTGTGACCTCTTGATGCATCTTTAATTGTTGCCAGATGTTTTAGCACTTAATTATTTCCTAGTAGTGTCCTGTATATTGCCTATATTTAAGCTTCTTGAAGTCACTGACCATCTTCTGTCCTTTTCCTGTTTGTGATGCTGATTATTTTTTGGATTTAAACCTTCCAATAAAAACTTAAATAAGGATATATTTACTTAGATAAGTTGTATTAATTAGTCACACATGAATCCTTTCGTTTTATTCATTTTCTACATTTGTTGCCATTTAGCTGTTGATTATATTTGAATTATACGTGTATATATAATATATAAATATATTTACATATTGATGACAGAGGATCTTTATTTCTTGCCTTCTAAATTGCAACATGATAGTCTTATATTAAATGTGGCTGCCACTTTCTCCGCAGGTAGATGCTGGCTGGATTGGATTTTGGTCCATAGTTGGAGGCTGTGTTGTTGGAATAGCTATGGCAAGGTAAGAATATTTTACGTTAAACATGTGGGTGGGCCAAACCAAAAACAAAAAAAATGGCTCCTTTTGATAAGTGTTAAAATTCAGGGGAAAATAAAACAGGCAGAAGCCGGAAAGGGCACTTGTTCAGGCTACAAGAAAATTCACATGCAGTAAGAATTTGCTGCTGCAAGAAACATTCTCAGGAGTAGTCTGTCTTCAACTGTTTCCAGAGGATAGAAATGTGTTTCCAGTGTAATTAAGCTGCCTGTCTCCATATTATTGGAGAACAGAAGCTACAAATGGAGTCCAAAGAAAGGTAATACAGTAATAAAGGAAAATGGATTATTTATCGAGAATAGAAAAGAATTGAAAAGAATCATTTGTAAGAACATCTTTAGAACTTTACATGAAAAGGGAGTATCTGATTAGCAGATATTTATTTTTGGTCTTTTTTGGCAGGTACATCCCTGTATTTATCCCATTTTGATGAAAAGTGTCCATAAAGACTTCCAGTCATCAAACTCCCTTTGATCCTAACCCATTATGACAACACATTTTAAGAAGGAATCAGAGGAAGGAAAATGTCTTATTTTTTCTTAAAAAAAAAAAAAGAAAGAAAGAAAGAACAGAAATGTCACTCATCCAGGTGACTGCCTATAAAACTATCCTTGGTGTTTCCAAAGAGATGAGTTATTCACTTCCCAAATTGTTTACCCTGTTTAATCAAAAACAAAATTAGGCAATCAACTTTACCAGAAAGAGAAGAATCTAATTACATATTTGGGGAGATCAAATAAGATATGTAAATCACCTCAATTTCTAAATACTTAAACATAATTGGCACAGGATAATATATCTAGACCTTACAGTTTGCATAGTGTTCCTGGGATAATGAAAGAATAAACTGACACTGATTTCTAAATCACCCTGAGGTTTTTATAAGTTAGGGAAATAAAAGAATAAAATCTAAAAGCTAAAGAAGAGGAATAGGAAGATAGCATTTGTAGGAAACCACTACACAAATACTGAAATACATTGACTTGTCACATTTGACAGAATCATATCTAATTTTTCTAATTAAATATCCAAGCCAATTATACTGAATCATCATTTCCCAAATCCTATTCTGAGCACTAGATAGGTCAAAGAGGAACTATTGTATAGCAGAAATGACATCTCACATGTACCTTTTGCTTTATTTTCTTTCTGTAAACCCTTAATTTTATCTATATAGAAATAGAGCTAGAAGGAAAAATGAGACTGAGGACATTTCTGTTTTTAATTCATTGAAATGCAAGATCTAAAAAATACGACCCTTACTCTGGATTGAAGTCAATTATAGCTATCTCCTAGGCCTAGAATCAATTTTAAAATTATGTTCATAACACCATTTTGGGGATCCCTAGAACAGAATCTCCTTATACACATTAGTGTTTGGGTGATTTTTTTTGTAATTATGTTGCTAAAGGCCACTACCAGGTGTAATAATTTTGATGGTATTAGCCCATTTGAAAGGACTAGGTCTACATAAATAGCAAATCACAGTGGTCAGTTTATTCTTATGTGACCTGGCCCTGTCAGCTCTCTCACTGTTCAACTTTATTCAGTTCTGATTATACCATAAAACTATTTTATTCTCTCATACTTTGCCATCTGCCTATCAGACAAGTATGTTCTTGCAGCATACCAAAACATAAAAAAGTGTTTGGTGGGCATGAAAACTGTTTTCGGAGTTTCTTGAGGGAAATTTCTATGAAGCTGTGGAACGTTTTCAGAGTACAAAAGAATTTTCTGCTGGTAAACTTTAATAGTTGAGAACAAACATAAGTCACTGGGCAAAGATGCATCCATGTTTTCCACCAAAAGATGGCATCAGCTGTCACAGAAAGCTATTTTAGTCCAGGCAATGCTTACAAACATGATTAACCTTATCATGTCAAATAAGCACAAAAGATAGTATTGAAAATATTAAGAAGGACAGTAATATAATTACAATAAAAATTAAAATCAACTTTAAAACTTCAAAGTAGAAAAAACACAGTAAATGTTATATTTGGGATGAGATCAGTTTTTCTGCAGCAGGAACAATTCTGAAGGCCTGAGTACGCTGCATGTAGGCACAGCCAGAGGATTGTGCCTGTAAATTAGCAGATGAGGAAAAGTTAATTGGCAAATGGAAAAGTTGTGGGTCATAACTAAACAATAAGCATCTCTACCATTTGCCTTTTAATTTCATGTTAATTCATAAAAAAGCAGAAATTTTGAGAACTTAAAATGCCCTGAAACATAAGCCACAACCTTTGTAGGACAGTAGTCATTACTCCAGAGCTACATTCTTGCTCTCCTGGAGCTTACTAATAGGGAAGACAAAAAGTAAATGCAAAAACAAAAGAAATGCCAATAGAGATCAATGCTGTGAAGAAAATAGAGTGTGGAGATGGGATGGTGAGGGCTTCTTTCATGAGCAGGGAGAGCTTTATTGAACGGAGACCTGAATGACCAGAGTAAGCTAGAGAAAGTCACATGAAGAATGAGGGTACCAGCATTCCTGGCAAACAGGACAAATACCAAAGGTACATATTGCTATGGGCAACAACCCTAGCTTGTATGAGAAACAAAAACACGGCTGTCCAACTGGAGAATAGTAAGGCAGAGGGAGAGTGGAGGCACAGACCAGATCATATAGGACCCCGGTGGCTCTGTGGGTAAGCATTTGGATTCTCTGAGTTTGAATTTTGGGAGAGCCATGTTTGCAAGTTGATGTCAGCAAGTTAGCCTGTTTTCTAAAACTAGAATAATATAATGCTCATTATAGGATGTTTGGAAATTATAGAAATATATAAAGAAAGTAAAAGTAGCATTTAAAAAACACAGAATCCATCCTGTAAGTTACAGACCTTGAACAGAGATCACATTTTGTATGTTTTGTAAGAGAAAAAAATATTTGCCATGATATATGCAAAATGTGCTAGTTAAAAAAGGTTTTTTTACTTGCTTTAAAAAGAACTCCTAGAAATTTTTTCAAGAAATTATTGCTTAATGAAAGTGTGTCATTGATTTAAACAGTATTTTAAAAATCCAAGTAGAATTATAATAGAACATTGTTTCTTTTCAGGTTTGCAGATTTTATCAGGGGTATGCTGAAACTAATTCTTCTCCTCCTGTTTTCTGGGGCTACACTGTCATCCACGTGGTTCACCCTGACCTGTTTGAACAGCATCACACACCTGCCTTTAACCACAGGTGAACACAGACTATTTTGAACTTTGAATAGATATTTTCAGATCACAAAAATATATAAACCCAGACAGTAGGAATTTTCCTTGTTAGAGATATAACGGAAATATAATAATAATTACTATAAAACTATAAAAATTCTAAAACTAATAAATATACAAAAAGGTCTCCCACGTCCAGACATCAGACTATCTTCCCATCTAAAAAGAGTCCAAGAATAACTAAAAATATTTTCATTGGTATTTTCACATGGAAAAGAAATGTAATCCTTAGCCTAAACTCATATAGCATGGAAAAGCCTATATTCTTTTAAAATTCATATCAGAGCATAATACAGAAATTTTTATCTTCTTTATAGCCATTACATCATTAAGCAGTAAGGAAAATGAACAGAGGCAAAAAGCTATGATGTTTGAAGTATATACCAGTAAAATTCTTTCTACACCTATAGGTTATTCAGTCTTCGTACACTATCAATACAAAACAAAACTTACTAGAAAATACCTTTAGGAAGTATATTACAGACAGCTTATTCAGCTCATCTAATTGACCTGAAATATTTAATTTTTTTTAATGTTTATTTATTTTTGAGACAGAGAGAAGCAGAGCATGAATGGGGAAAGAGGGTCAGAGAGAGAGGGAGACACAGAA